TCTTTCTTGTAGGTAAACCTCAATTTTATTCATTGCATGAAGTGTGTAATCTCCTTGATCCATTTTGTCACGTGCTAACCGTTTTTTGTAATGTTTAAAAATGAGAAATTTCCATGTCAGACAATAGCACCTTGTAGGAATATTTCCACATGACCCATTTAAATATAACATTTCAGTAAATATCACTTAGGCATGGCATCTCTGTGAGGCTCTCATAGCTACTATGAGATTCTGCACTGGGCTCGGTTTTGCACACATCCTTGTTTTAATTAATTCTGCATAGCACACTCAGAGTAATTGACTCAGATACTCTAAACCTGCTCACTCCTTCTTAATTAACTGCATTTTAAGAACGTCTTTTTAAGAAACAGGTTTTTTAATAAGATGCTTTTTAATGAATATAACATTCTGAAATTTTTTTTTGAGAGATCTTTGCTATAGGGCATATGTGCTCACTGGAGAGACAGAGAGAGAGAGAGAGAGAGACAGACAGACAAACAAACAGCTAGAAAACTAGAAATCTCCCCCCAGGGTGAATAGCCATGCCACAGTCCCTTCTCTTTCATTCTCCTTCTGGGATTTTGGACACACATGCATACACACACACACACACACACACACACATAGTGTGAGTTTTAAATCATTGGATCTGGGACTCAAACCGTGGTCAACCACATTGGAGTCCAGCAACATAACCATTACGCCATCAGCCGGTCCCAACTTTCTGAACATTTATACCTACTTAAAGGAAAGCAGAACTTAACCAGGACTATGTATTTTTCTCTTTGGTTAAAAATTCCTGATATTTAGGACACCATAATAGAAGAAAGGAAGTATATGGGGGTACTTTAAAAAATGTATGGAATTAAAATACAAATTTATTTTTATTTAAAAACTTTTTCTTTATATATTTTTTCTATAGGGTGCATGTGCTTGCTGGAAAGACAGAAAGAGGGAAAGTGAAAAATCATCCTCCCACCCCAGGGGGGTGGCCACAACGCAATCCCTTCTACTTCTTTCTCCTTCTGAGATTTTGGGCATACATGCATACACTCCCAACAGGAGTTTCAGACTGCTGGATCTGGGAGTCCACAGTTGGCCATCTGGGAGTCCAGTGTCTTAACCACTATGCCATGTGCTGGCCTGGTTTGTAAGCTTTTATATCCATGAGGTTTTTTTTTTCACAGGATGCATTTTCCATGAATCTTTTGAAAACTCCTTGGATTTGCTTGCTATCTTGTGTTCACAAGTTTTCTATTCTATTTCCAGAGCCTAAATTTGTATAACTTGTGAAGAGAAATGAAAAGTCATTTCCTTTACCTGAGAAGAAAAGGAAAAGGGAACATTTGGGATGGTAGAAAGCCAGTGGGTCTGGGTCCTGGGTTGGGAAGAGTGATGATTCTCCTGGGGTAAACTGTTAAAGTATGGTTTCTTCTTCTGTCATTGCTTTGGAAATAAAGCAAGTTGTGTGTGTGTGTTTTTGTGTGTATAGTTACAATAAGGTATAGTAAAGTGCTCTATTTCTTCTTTATCCAAGGATTTCCTGCTGCAGGTATTTACTGTGTTCCGAATATTGATACGCCCAGAGATGTTTCCCAAGGACTGGACTGTTATGCGCTTGGTTGCTAACAAGTAAGACATTTAAGTTGGCGATAATTGCAGTCAATGTGTGGGGGATGAGGAGAGCTTAAAATGATCCTTTCAGTTTGATCTCAGGTTTGAGACCTTCAAGTCCTGGGATCCTTTTTCTTTGTCTCTGAATTAACTTCTGTTCTTCTTCTTCTTCTTCTTCTTCTTTTTTTTTTTTAATTACCATATTTGTTTTAAAATACTGGGCCAACAGATGGCATGGCATGTTGGTTAAGGTTCTGGACTCCCACATGGCTCGGCTGACTGAGGTTTGAGCTCCAGCCTAGCAGCTTGAAAATCACGTCAGGCACATCGTACATGCGTGGCCAAAATCCCGAGAGGAGAACGGAGAAGGGATTGCTGCATGGCCGTTCCCTTCGGGGGGTTATTTTTTACTTTCCCTCTCTCTGTCTCTTTCCAGTGAGTGCATGTACCCTATGGCAATATGGCAAAATCTAAAAAGGAAAAAAAAAATAGTTTTTGTTCTGAATATACCAGCATCATTCAAAAATCAAACAATATAGTGGAGTATGCATTAGAAGTCCTATCCCCACCTACCTTATCTACCCCCTAACCTAGTCTGTAGTAACCCCTTTCATTTCTTACATTTCCATCCAGTGTTCCTTCTGCAAAGTCTAGCAGGTAGCATAATATATACACCATTCTTCACATTGCTCTTACTCTTAAAATTCCTGCAAGTCTTTCTTCTATACCAACAGATACAGCACCTTTAATTCTTTTTGTTTTTATTTTTATCTTTCATAGCTGAATAATATTTCATTGAATGGGAGTACCTTAGTTTACTTAATCAATTCCCTAGTGCCAGACATTTGTATTATTTCTGATCTTTCTTAATTCTTTTAAGTCAACATGATACCTTCAGTATCTATTATGTGTGGAGCAATGGGAATAAGACATGACCCTTGAGTTGGACATATGAAGATTGTAGCTTTTTATTCATCCCAGTTATGGCTAGTAGAGAACTGAGAACAGTGGTTCAAGGAAAGGTTACAATTAGACACAAACATTTGAAAGTTACTGACCTATAGCTGTTATTTAAATCTCTGGATGTGTTGATAAATCAGTTTATATTAAACATATCAAGCTAACATAAAAATAACATTACTAAAATGATCTGAGAGCAATACTTGAAGGAAGAGGAGCCAGGAAAGGAGATTAGGGGCAGTTAAAATGGCAAGGACTGATCCTGGAGAGTGCAATGTCATGGATTGATCCTCCCTCTTAGGTTCCTATCTCCTTTGTCTTAGGACGCACAATGAAGATAACATTCTTTAAGAAACTGACCTGCTCTTCATTTTCAAATTTGTTCTTTGCCCTATTTCCTTAGCATTCTCACTTCCAAGCCCACATGTGACTACTCCTACTTCCTCTTCTCCAAATGCCAGCACCCTCATGCTCAGGGTGAAGGTTAGGTTCTGCAGGCATCCATCCATGGGTCACCATATGGCTTCCCCATATGCCCAGGTATGAGAGTGCCGAGAGCCCCAGGAGTGTACGATTCCGTCTTGATTAGATATGCTTAATATGGTTTCTGCCTGCGGTATACATTTATAGACTTGGAGGTGTTAAAATGATGTGTTAAACATTTTGTGAAGTAACAAATAGTATAACATGGCATATTATATTTTACATAAGCACCGAAGCAGCTTTTCAAATTTGAAGACTAATTGAGACTGCGGAAATAACTCTCTTTGGAATTTAGCATATTTAGTTTGATATCTGTGAATAGAATCAAGTATCTACTCAGCTGGATGTCTGGATGCTAACAGAGTTCAATGAGAACTTTTGCTTATGGATCTAGCTTTATTATCAAAGAGCAAAGATTCTAGGGACATGGAGGGGCCTAAAAGGTGACATGAGGGGCCAGATAGGAAGGTCCCAAAGCCACTGCTACTAGCGTTGCCATCATACAACACCAGCATTTGCTCGTTCTGCCTGCCCTGGGAGCAGTGGGACGTTTTGGCTTGAGTTGGAATTTTAAATGGCAGAAATTCTAACTGAAAATTAAATTTGACATTTTGTTTCTTAGGTACACAGTCTCTGTTTGAGCTTGCTGAACACCATGACAACAATGTGGCTTTTTTATAGAAAATACATCTCCCTCTTTCTCTGCTCCCCTTAGAAATTCCTACAGCATTTTTTAAAAAGACTTCATGGGCATATGAGTGGGCAACAGGCTAAGGTATAGATTCAGCTTTGAGTAAATACATACAATCCAGAATTTCCAGCTACTGTGTTATCTAAACAGGAACATGATTTTGTTAAAGATGAGCTCAGTGTAATGCATTCAAACAGAAGGCTATCCCATAGCAAACCTCTAAAAAGTGCCACCAGCCTTTGCTAAATGCAATAATCATTCCATTGCCACCCAAGTGAGTGTCGAGAGACGTCTGGCATTGATTCTTCACTGGCAATGGCTGGCGGCTGCAAATCCAACCCAACTCATGGCCAGAACTCCAGGGTCTCACAGGACACCTGCCAAGCTGGAATCGATTCCTTGCCGTATGCTCTTCTCCTTCCCACTCCTCTCCTCTCCTCATTTAATACAGTCCCTAGCCACTTCCCTTTCAAATTCTGAAAGCATATGAGATTTGTCTTGCTTTGTGAATGCAACATCGTTCACAAATAAGCCCTCAACTACCTGTGCTTCATTTGTGAAAAGCATTAACTCATGTAATACTGGTAGAAAAGTTGGTTTCTGAAAGATATTGAAAATATTTTAAATAGGATAAAGAACATCTACTGAAAAACAAATGTTTCTGCTTCACTAAACTGTCTAAAGCAAGCTGACAGAGTTAGAGCTATATCTCTGGAGTGGACCATCTTTTCCTCCACTGTAATAACTTTCTAAGAGAAACGTATCAGGGACACTCAAAGAGAGCTTAATAAATGTTGATTGAGATTAGCTAGCTGAGGCATCACCAATGCCCAACTCTTAAACTCAACTGAATAGCTCATCCTCAAAATGAATGTTCTTTTATATGTTGTTCATTTCTTCCTGTGTTTTCAACTTTAACTTTCATCTATAAACGGTGTCACTCTGAATCTCACAGCCTTTCTGTTTTGTGTAAGTCCTGCCAAAAACTGTGACTGGACGCCTGGTGATTTGTGTTGATTTTGTTGTTGTTGTTTGTTTCCACCTGAATGTTCAACATGTGTAACCTAGCAAGTTCGTCTAAATTCTGCCATGTCAAGAAAATTTCTTCTCTTTCTTGTTTTCTGCAAAGCTATCTTGTGCCCACTGTAAGTGCCTGCTAGATGTTTCTGATGAGGACAACTGCTCGATCTGGGAAAGAAGGAGCATAAGGAATATGAAAATTAGGTACCAAAAATACAGGACACTTTGAGCGAACTTCTCTCCACCCCCTTCCCATACACACTGCAAAATAAAGTACAAGAATAAAGTCACAGCTTTATACATGTTTTCAAGGAGATAAATCCTATCACAGGCTTGTGCTTACTGAGAAAAGTAAAAACACTCTAGCTCTTCTGTTGAAATGTCAGGTCTTTATTTTGTTTGTCTTGTATGCATATCGGCTTCAAGCATATCATACTTCCACTAATTTAGGTTTCAAGTAAGAGCAATATTGCAAATAAAGGACTGATTGAATCAGACAGTCTTAAGGAAGTTCATCCATTTATTCATTGACTCAACTATTAAGAAAGTATGTCCCAGTACCTAATGAATAAAATAAATACTATAAAGATTTAAAAAGCACAGCAATGTAATGGTGTTTAAAAAGAATTTTGTTTTGGACTGGGAAAAGAGGAGTCTTTCATGAAGGGATGAAACTTGAGCTGAAAGCTTAAGTGGGAGCAAACAACAAAGGAAGAATGCTCTTATTCATAGAAATTGCATATGCAAAGGCCCTGTGGTCAGAGTGAATGTGGTGCACTGAAAGGCTCTTAGTACGACTGGAATGTTGGAGAGAAGGAACCAGGGAAGGTGACAGGTGACTTAGAAGAGGAAGATGGGGCCCAGACTTCAGTGGGTAGAGACAAAAAAAGAAACCAGGAAAACATAATTAGAAATTTACCATAGGAATACAGGCAGGAGATGATGATGGCTTAGAGAGGTGGATAGCAATGTTGGTAGTGAAAACATCAATTTGGAGAATAAGGTTTACAAGACCTACAGATGACTGGATACAGGTGGGAAAGAAAAAAAAAAAAAGAAAGAAAGAAAGAAAAAAAAAAACCATGACCCCTTAAATTTTGGACCTGATCCAGAAGACTGAATAGCAGTACCATATACTTAAGTGGAAAATACTATGATAGGAGTAGCTTTGATGGTAAGAGAGGTAAAGAATTCTATGTTGAACAAAAGCTCAATGTATTATTAAATATTCAGGTAGAGTACAGAAGAGGAAGCTAGACACGTTCATATAAAGCTCAGGGAGAGGCTGGGGCTAGAGATGTATGTTTAGGGTCATCAGATTATTCATAAGATTTGAAGCCATGCAACTGAATGAGAGCACACAGGAAGAAAGTGTAGATTGAAAAGAGAAAAGGATTCTTGACTTCATATAGGTCAGGAAGTAGAGAGGCATGCAGCAAAGAGACTGAAAAAGGATTAGCCCCAGATGTAAGATGAGAACCATTGCAGTATAATATCCCGTGAAGAAAGAGTTTCAAGAAGAAAGGGTTATGGAGAGCTGCTTAGAGGTTGGCATTGGTATGGATTGACAGTTGGCAGTTGGCCTTGGGATTTGACAATGTGGTAGATATTGATGACCTTGACTAGTGCTATTTCAGTGGAGTGGTAGAAATAAAAACTTGATTAGAGTGAATTCAAGAGTGGATAGCAGTTAAGAAACTGAAAACAGTTGTTAAAGGCAACTCTTTTGTAGAGATTTGCTAAAGAAGGAAGCAGAGAAATAGAGCTCTATATGGAAGGAGACATGAGGACTAGGGTTCTATTAAAATATAGGCTATATAGGCATATTGATTTACCAAGTTGGAATTTCCAGTCAAGTCATAAA